TTCTTTTGTTAAAAGGGATCGCTGGGATGTGTCAGTGCAAAGGAAAGGGTCACCCACAAGGGAAAGTCGTTTTTTTTTTTTTCTTTGTGATTTTGGAGCTCTAAAGATTATACTTAACAGCGACAATACGCCTGCTTGAACCTGTTGTATATCAGCATGTATTGTATTGTATTGTTGTACTTTTCTGCATTTGAAAAGTTTCCAAAGCAGTTTCGAAGTTTCATAGAGATTTGACGCGAAGATGCCGAAAGTGACACAACGGCAGAATCTTACGTTTCCTTCTTTGCAGGAATAAAGCCCGAGTTAATCACGGGGTATTTTTCACATGTATTTTCGTTAAATTGCACACTCCCAAGTTTTTAGGACGTTGTGATGGCAATCATGTCGATTGTTGCAGCTCACAATCGATGCAAACCACGCACGGCCCATTTCACTCGGAAAGTAATTACGACCTTTGAGAGTGTTTTTGACGTCTCTCGGGGCGAATGAAACGCTGAAAATACGCTGTATTTCTTTGACACTTCAGCCAGCAGGCCCAAATATGTTGCATTCTACTTTTTCAGTCAGTCCCCTCGAGGTTGTCCATTTCGCAGACCGGAGAGCTGCCCGAGATCTCTGCGGACGCCTGAAGTAGAGACGTTTTTTTGCAATGGTTTGCAATTCTTGCGCTGCCAGAGCAAAACGGCAAACAAAAAGCAAAAGCCGACAGACCTTGTTGCGAGTTGAGCGGTAAAGCTGGAGCGCAATGCGAAGATAAGGTGAGTCAGACGGAATAACCGTTGCGTTTCCAGTTCACCGTTCCCGCCGCGACGCTGTTCACGCTTGCTGCTTTCACTTATTTCAAAAATTTTTGAGCTCGAAACGTGACAGATGCTCTGCTCTCCGGAAGCAGCGATGAGCCGTTTCTTGTCGACTCGCTACACAAATGCGCTACACGTACGTGCCCCGTGTATTCGGCTCGCGTTCGCCTATCCGGGAACTGGAAGTCCTAGCCCGCGTAGCTGAGAGTGTGTGTTTCCCCACCCACCCTCCCCGTTATGCCTTTCGAATCACCCGGGCGGAAATTGTGTTGGTCCCCACAACGCACGAGGGAACTGACACAGGATATGGCAGTGTTTTGATTTGGAAATGGGTCTCCCCAAGACATACGCGTGAGCGGAGTTGTACAGACTTGATCGAAAATATTTTTGCACAATGCAGCTATCTCGACCTTCCGTTGATTCTAAATGGGGTGGCTAACCGAACATTATATTTGCCAGCCGCAAAGGCT